GCTACAGAGACTGCGCAAGAAGCCAAGGTAAAAAGTTCAACAGTGAGGAAGAGGAGCTACTTCATCTCTGTGACTCCAGCCCACGACCACTGGGACACACTGCACAGACACAACTAGGAGGAGACTGGGGTGGAACATATGAAAAAGACTTTCAAGCTCATTATAATATGAAGCAGGGATAGGTTATGCATGTGTATAGGTGTATTATGAATATGTAATGCTTTCTAGCATAAAGCCAAGACAAGGTGCCACAAGAGGTGCACATGTTTGTGGTGTAATGATCCGCCGTGTGCCTCAGCGCTGAATAAACATACCTACTTTATAACCTTAGAGGTTGTGGAGTTGTGCTTCCGCAAGTCATTTTGCTAAAAGTGAAAAAGGCAGTGTGATTAAATACACAAAAATATCCACGTGGTTTTAATAAAAGCAGGATTATTACTTACATCAGTATTTTCATCATTAACTCCATTATGCTGATGGGAAAAATATATATATATATTTGAATGCCAGTTTTGTGTCCAGATCAAAGGTAGTTGCAAACATGCAAAGGGTTAAGCCAAACCTATGTATTAAAAAATTTCTCTTGCAGGAAGAAATTGCTTGAAAGGTAGTTTGCTGAAAGGCTGTTTTCTTCAAAAGGATAGTCACATGCAACCGAACAATGAGTCTGGAGTTGTAGAAACAGTGCAGAGGAACTCTTGTAGTAATGTTTGTAAGCATCTATGCCCTGGTGGTAAGACTACAGGTGATTATTTATAAAATTACAAGAGACTGTTTACTCTTGACTCTTAAAAAAAAAAGAAAGCTTGTTTTTCTTCAAAATTAAGGAAATTTTTAGGTCCTGCCAAAGATTCTTATACATATATAGCTTGATATACCTGGACAAAAACCTCATATGTGTAAACAGTTCTTTCTCTATCAGTTTTCTCTGTGTAGGAAAGTTAATAATTTATTTTGAGAAAACGAATGCCTTGAAATAGAAGCCTTGTCAAATCTTTGCTTCTCTGCTTCCATCATCCCATCTAAGACAGCAGTTCAGTATTGTCTTTATTTTAATTATGTATAAAGATCTATGTCTGCCAAAACACTCTCTACAACTACCTGAAAGGAGGTTGTAGTGAGATGGGTGTTGATCTCTTTTCCTGAGTAACCAGTGATAGGACAAGAGGAAACATCTTCAAGTTGCACCAGAGGTTTAGCTGGGATATTAGGAAAAATTTCTTCACTACAGGGGTTGTCAAGCACTGGAACAGGCTGCCCAGGGAAGTGATTGAGTAACCATCCCTGAAGCTATTTAAAAGATATGTACATGTGGTGCTTAGGGACATGGTGGACTTAGCAGTGTAGGTTTATGGTTGGACTCAATGATCTTAATGGATATTTCCAGCCTAAATGATTCCATGATTCTATGATTCTAAGAACTTGAGAAAGTAAAGCCTCACAAAATGATGTGGGCCAAATCCATTTGAACAGCTATGGATTTCATGTACTGTGGTGGAAGATTAGTAACTTGCATAGTCAATGATAGAACTGGAAAAAAACAAAAACAAAAACCAAGGATGTGTTTCATTCATAGCTTTCTGAGATTTGGGGAGAATTTACTTGCCTAAATTCCAAACTGTAATCTTGAGAATGATTACTCAGATGCAGTCCTGAACTCCATTTGTGCCATCTTTTATACTTTGAAGCTACTAACACATTTCACATTCAACTTGGAAACACCCCATCTGTATAGGAGGGAGTGGGTGGCTCAGTATCTTGCCCATAGCTAAGCCCAAGTGAGACTAGGCATGTGGAAGGGCCGTGTGGGTGTGGGTGAACAGCTCTAACAGAATACGTTTACCTGGTTGGGGAATCGTGAGTTCCAGCTGGGGATGTTGCCGAAAAAATGGAATTGGACTACTACAGTTTCAATGCACACTTTTTCATATGCTATTTTTTTCCCTTGCAAATCCAACTTTTCATCTCAATTTTAAATTGTGTGTAATCCTGCAGTTACTATTGCAGTGATATATATATATTCCATCATGCTGGGTTCAACTGGTCTTACAGAATTTGTATTGGACAAAAGCAATTACAAACCATTTCTGCCCTAAATGAAATAGAAAGCAGTAGGAAGAGCTAACAAACAAGGTTTAGTGTTGCCATCTTTGACAAAATAATTGTTATTAATGCACATTTGTTTTATTCATATGCTATAACAGATATTGAAAAACATTTCCAAGAATTTGTTCACAGGAAGCTTAAATGTCATGTTTGGCCCTGCTAAAATACCTTTTGCCCCAGTTTTGAAGCTATGTGCTCCCTCCTCCAGGTTTGCATCATCAGTGGACACCCAAATGTTAAGGAAATTTCAAAAGAATAACTCAGCTACATTGACTGAAAATGTCTCAGAGACTCAGTAACCACAGAAAGTGAAGATGGCTGTTGTTATAAAGCTCAATGAGTTAAGGATTTAAACAGTTCCACAAAACTGTTCTAACAAACTTAATAGCTTAACAGCTATTAAATACAAACTCTCTCCATATGGGAACATTCACTGAGCACATTAAAAATGCAATAGTTAGGGATTTTTTAAACTGAATGACTAGAAACAGAGCTAATGTGCCTTATTCACATTTTATTTAATATTTTTTAGTGCAACAATAGAAGTACTCATAATTCAATGCAGAAATTTTTGGCACTTTCATATGTCTAGGTCAGAAAATCATCAATCTCTTAGCAATATTTCTGCCTGTCATGTTTTCTTCTGTGTATTTCTCATCCATGGTCAATGTCACATCTCCTGACACTTAGAGCATTCTTATAAACATAATGCACTGCCAATTCATTAACACAGATTTTAAACATTTATTGTACTTGTTTCTTATTCAAAGGTGATGATTGGTCTCTTCATTGAACATTTCATACACTGAATATATGACAGTAACTGGCATTTATAGTATATAGTTAGCCTTGAGTCTTGGCAGAGAAGGATCCTGGTTTATGTAAGGTACTGATTTTGAGTAGGCCCCGTTTTTAGGTAAGCACTTTCTGTTGAGTAGCTTTTAGATATAAAACAGAGAACAGAATGCTTTATGTAAGCAACAGATAGCCTCTTTTTTTCCAAACAACTCGCACAACAACTTGCTAAAGGGGTAAAAATAACAATCAAGCCTCAGAGCAGTTAAATAATAGCTTGAGGCTGAGCAGTTAAAAAAAAGTGTCTGTATTATTATTCCTTTTTCTTTTCTGTAAATGATTAATGACATCTAAAGCACAGTGTGTTTTAGCTGTTACACAGGACATGAAGAGCATACAGTCAGCATTTCTCTGAGATACCATCCTGAAAAGGATGCGAATTTCTTCGTGTATTTGCTGGGGCCAAGCTAGCTCCATGCATGCCACACTTAGAGACCTACTTCAAGAAGCTGACAGAGACTGGTCAAAAGCACTCTCCTCTTCTGAGGGAACACTGAGAGTCACTCTGTGTTATTAGTGTGACTTGTATTACTTCACATAAAAACATACTTATGTGACTACTTAGGATGAGCTAGCTAACTTTTTTCTGCTGAAACTTAATAGCAGAAAAATAAAGTTATTCAGCATACCTGTAAAGAGAAATACAGATTTTTCAGACTTCTCTCCCAGAACACAAATGTTTGTTTTTCCCTCAGGCCGTGGTATTACATAGCTCACAGTAATGTAAAGAACAATACCTGTGTCCTGAATCAAGTTTGTTTTCATAGAGTACAAGTGAACAGGCTGTCTAATTAGAAGAAGTAATACAATTTTTAAAAGAATCTGTTCTAGTCTGTGGTTCGTGCTTGAAGGGCAAAGGCACCACAAGCCATTTAGTGTAAATTCTGTGTCTATGCGTTAGTAAAATCTGCTATCATTTTAAAGCAAAATTTCTTCCTCAAATCCAAAAATCTTTTTCTTCAAAAATTATATAAATAGCATAATCATACTGTAATCAGTCAATAACAAAAATAAGCTTTTTACAGTTATTTCCACTCTGTAATTGGTAAAGAAGCCCTTTGAGGAAGCAAAAAAACAGCACAAAAGAATTCCAACTTTGCCAGCAACAGGCTGTCCTATGCTTGCACAATACAGTGATTATGTTATGCAGTGCATCAGACTGGACTGTGATATAGTCTGGCCTTAAAGATCTGTGAATCACAGACAAATTCCTTGCATGATGAAACAGTTTAACTTGAGAAGAGCTTCCAAATCCTACTTCCTCTCTCTTTCTAATCTTAGTATTAGAGCCAGTAGGATAATCAATTTAGTTTGGGGTTTTCTAAAAAAATTAAAACAAGTAAAAAAGATTAGCATTTTCCAAAGTGCCTACTTTATTTTGGAGTCCTGGCTGGTGAGGTCTGTGCCCATGAGGTAATTCACTTGCTTGTAAACCTCTTACCTAGAAGTCTCTCAATTTGATGGTGCCACTTGTGATTTAAAACCAAAATAATCTTCAGTTTTTAAATAGCCTTTTCATTCCTGGCAGAAATAGGTTTCTGAATTTTCTGAATGCCTCACAAGAGCTTAATGTCTCTGAAAAACAGTATTGCTGTTACAAATCTCTACACAAGGATAAAGCAAGCTGCCTAGGGGACCTATTGAAAGGAAGAGCAATTCAAACGTGCCCATGGTGCACAAGGGGCAAACTCCCAAGCTGAGTCCTACCTCACCAGGACCAGTGAGATCCCACCCAGGCCTTTTCTGCTGTGACTAAAAGAAAACAAAACCAGCTGTGGGGGCAGCATCCCTCCAAGGACGAAACACCTTTTCTTGGAATTTCACCCAACTCTGTGAACCTCCCAAGCTGCAGTCATCTCATCCATCTTGCCTGCAAAGGTCCCAACAATGTATTACATCACTGTCTGAAAGTCTTCTCCTTGGTTAAAGTAGGCTTGACACCCACCATTCAGATTCCTGGTCTTTTCAAGTGTTAACAGCCTCATGTTAAACAGCTGGTATAGGAACAATGCAAAGATGAAGAAACGTAAACCACCTTAAATCTGTGCCAATAAGCCAAGGCACAATTAACTGAAAAGGGAAACCAATGACCGTTGCACAGACTGGGCCCATGAATATGCCCAATGTTACTCAACAGAACTGAGACAACTGAATGCGTCACATTCATTGCTCCCTACCTGTGAATTTCACAAATCAAGAAGTCAAGCCAATATGTCTACTTCCTAGAATATGCAAAATCCATACTGAAGCACAATTATGTACTGTGCTATTTCAGGAAAAGGCATTGAAATAAATTGTACATTTTGAAAAGTTTCCTTGAGGCATTAGTTTAATTTTGTTTATAAAAAAAGGTAGCATTTTCTTCTTTAATAACAGAAGTACTGTGCAAATTTGTCACCATTGTCTTTGAAACCAAAAGCCTTCCTCTTCACATACTGCTTTTCAACCAACTGAGTTGTATAGATAGTAAAATCTTTTAATCTCATTTGTCAAGAACACAAAAGCAAACAGCTTGCTTTGGAGACCATACTTGTTCACTGGTTTCTTTGGACTTTAGATAGGGATTTTTTGCTGGCATCAGTGAGAGCTGGATGAGACCTTAAAGGCAGGCTGCAGGATTGAACAATCTTGAGATGTGTGTCTAGTTTACCAGTGATTCACTCTGTCATGACCAAAAAGTCACTAAGTTCTTATCTGATCATTCGTTATTCTTAAATAGATATACTTGAGTCAGAAGTAGACTTTTTTGAGAAATATGACCAAGACTAGCAGAGCTCTTGCAGGTTTTGAGTAACTCCTAACACTAGAGAGATGTATGTTCAAATCAATGCTCCCATTTTGAGTCTCAGTTTTGTGTATGGCTGTGTGTGCAGGGACAGGGCCTCGGGGTATGAATGTCTTGCACCTGCTTGTGGCTGGAGCTCCATGACCTTCCTATTCCAGCCCATACAATCTTCTGCTTCAGCCCAGGAAGGAAACAAGGTGTAACATAGACTTCGCATGTATGCTATCTGGAGCTGCCCTCTCTTTTTCAAAATGTTGGAGCAAGGGCTGTGGTTACACTTCTACACAACAGCTCCAAGGTCACAGCACTTACTACTCTGCTGATGAGCTGCCCTTTCAACATAATTTAGTTTTGTGAGCAGGAAATGTAGAGGCAAGGGTAAAGCTTTTGTCTTTGGAGGGGGGAGGTTGTGCAGAGACACCTGGAGGTGAAGGAACTGCTACCAATTAAAGGTTGGCTGCCTGAGGACAGTACATAGACAGAGCACATATTCCTACAGGAGAGAGAAGCAGCAGCAGATGGTGGCTCACTAGAAACAGATTAAAGCAGCTGGTACAGAAACAAGATGTGGCATCAAGGGTCAGTTCAAATGAGAAACAAACTGTTCCTAGCAGAATTCTGACTTGATTGGTGTGGTGGTGCAATTCTTACCCCTCTCTGCCCTCCTTGTTGGGCTGCTTGGTGCCAGGTGTGATTCCATCCACATTCCCCCAAGCCATACACCAGTCTGTGGAGATAAGGACTGATAACCTTGAGGGGCCTGGCTCCTGCCCCCCAAAATTGCTTGGAAAAGGTTATAATGGCCCATCATCTCCTGATGGCCTGACACACCTATGCCTGGGATGTGATCAGATGGAACAGTAACAGGGTTGCATATTATTCAAATTCTTGTGCAACTGCCAGAAGGCACCAGATAGTATTTGACAAAAATCAATTATCTTGGATCCTATAAACTGCGACCACCAGAGAGACCCTTTGAGCTCTCCTGGATTGCAGCGGGCCTGTGACCAGCATCTCCCCTGAGCTGGGACACCTCTCAGGTGTCATCTGCTCCAGATGGAAGGCCAGGGCGAAGTCCCCCCGCTCAAGTCTCAATTATTGCCCGTTGAGGAATGCCAAGGCATTGTGAGTATTTGCTCTAAACTTCAGAGGGAAATTTTCTTTGAGCTAGCTTCTATTTCTCCTGTTTATTGGTGGGTGGGTGTGGGTACGTACCCTTGCCCTTGTTCCTGTGTGCTTGTCCCTTTTGTGTTCATTTTACTGAATCCAAATACCTTTGTTTCTGTATGTATACGTCTGTTTTGTGTATGCATGTGTACATATGTGTCCAAATTAAGGTACCGTTAGAGTGAATATTGTCATTTTAGAACCTGAATAAGTTGCTTTTCTTTCTGAGTTATTTTGTATTGACAAATAGTTGTTAGTTATTAATAAATCTAGATTATTTTTCTAAATCATTACCGTGTCAATACTTTCATCCGCGACAACTGGGAAATGAAAAACCTGGGTTAATTTCTCTCCTCAGCAAGAGAAGGTTCAAGCCTACATGCCCCTTTTCCCCAGAGAACAGTAACCTTCATGCTATCAAATAACCTGGAGAGAGGTGGTGAGAGAAGTAGTAGATAGTGGGATGAACTCTCTTTGAATGCATAGATTCATTTCCCCTCACACCAACTGTACAAGTGTTTCTGTGTGATGAAGTGTACAAATCTAGGTGCCATTACTATTAACAGAGAATAAGTTCATTGTATTATGTATACATTAACTTGCCCTTTAACTGTCCCAATAGTTAACATACCTGGTATCTCTCAAACAGTGACTTCTTTTAGACAGAACAGTATTCTGTGCAGCACAGCCTAGCACTGCTGAGCCTAGCATGGCTGACAGGTTACAGACTACTGGCACCCACACTGAAAACCTGCTGAAATTAAGCTATGGGATGGGCATTTTAGAACCTCTGTGATATTTTAAATTTACAATGCATGATAAATAAAATTACCTTAAAGGAGTACATGAAGCACTTCCTGAACTGCAAATAAATCCTTGTCTAGTCCAGAGCTGGGAACCACTATTGTCGTCACTCTCAACAGCAAGACAGACTGTTTTGAACATGCCTCCCTTCTCTTTCCATAGGAAGATTTTCAGAAAAGACCTTTCATTGTCTAAAGCATGTTTGTTCTGCTTATGTACAAGGCACACTTTGCACAAGAATAAAGAAATGGAAAATGCACAATGGATATTTGTATACATAGTGGTTTAGTATATAATATTTTAAAGTGGTTGATTTAAAAAAAAAATCTGCACATGCTGAAGGCAAAGCCTTTTCATTTACCACTGAAGTGCTGTATTTTTGAGGAATGCTGAATTTGGTAATGCAAGGGGATAAAGAAATAAGTCTACATTTCCTTATGATATGTAGCTCTGAGATACAATATATGGTTACTGGAAGAAAAGTATAATCCCATTAAATAGAATTTGTACAATTCTGTTAAAATTGTATTATTTACTGAAAGCAGCAATTCTCAAGTGGAGGGAGGGCTGTTATTCACTGGAGGGCTTCAGAGGCCAGTCAGTAGCTGCTAACTCCTCTGCTTTCAGCTGCTCAACGCTTTTTTTACATGACTGTTTCACAACTGCATCTGCAGTCACTGCTCTAAACTCAGTAAGGAACAAGACAAAATTGTTTCTGTAATGAACCAAGAGGACACAACTACTTGTGGAAGGCTCTCTTGAATAAATTATGGTCTACAGAAAAGAAGAAAGATCTCTTGTGAAGAACAATAATGATTTCAGAAGTAGCTTTATATGACTGCAGTTGGTACAAGTTGAGCAATTTCTGTGATCTCTACTTTCTGACTGAGATTAGTAACACTAGAGTTTTCACTGTCCATGGAATTCAAGAAGAGAATACACAAAATAGTGTCTCAATTCCTTAGATAATCCCATTCTGGAAGATAAACAAAATCAGTACACTGGTGCAAAAAAACAAACCCAGCATCTTTACAAAAAGAATGCTACTTTTATTTTCAAATGCTGTAAAAAGCCTCTTATAAATTTTTATAATGCTTCTATGTAAGTTTCCCAATCACAACTAATGAAACAGTCTAGGAAAAATATAGCAGTTGCCATTTTGACTCCAAGAACAAGCAGCTGTAATATGTCAACATTAAAAGGACAAGGTACAGTACGTTACAATGCTTGCAATTGCTCATATTACTGAAAAAGTGAGAGCACTTCCTAAGCATTTGAGTATAACTGGGCTAAACTGCAGTATTCCCTACTTGCTGTTTGCAGAGGAGGAAAGTCACCTCTTTAGAAGGAGCCGACACAACACCCTTTATACTGCTTATACCTATTTAGTAGTGTGGAGAGCTTTCAGCAAGCCCCTTTGCACTTAGGTTAACTCACCCAACATCAGATGCTAAACAGCTCAGGTGTTTAATAGTTGACCTATAAAAATAACACTTACATAACTCTCCAGCAAGGCAAATTTAACAGTGCAAATGCAGTATCAACAATATTTGATTTGTGAATGCTGGCAATTTTTTAAACTCCTTTTGCACATGAAACAACTTCTGCTGATGTCCTAAGGCCACTCACTCACTCTGACTGAAAATGGAAGAAAGTACAAAAGCTCAGCTGTGTTTCCTAATACAAGCTTCCTCTCCAGTTTCTGCGTATTCAGATCCAAAATTTTGATTCAGGCTCACCACTTCCATCGATGCACTCAAGTTTTCTGTGCTGGAATAGGTTAACCTCCCAGCAAATTTCTGATAACAACTTGCATACACAATTCCATATTTTAACAGAAGTTAACAAACATACTTCTAGAAAATAAATTTTCACATGGTTCCAATCATCAAGCCATTTCAGGATCTTTGGTACTCCGAGAATAAGAAAAATACATGGCACAGTGACAAACACTGCCAAAGAAAAAACACAACCATCCAAAGGAATAAGACTAACAAAACAAAACCTATGTTGCACTTCTGCTTCTTGAAAGTCAGTGTAGATTAACCTTCTGTTCTCTTTAATACATTAGTGTTACAGTTTCACCTTTAAAAAAAATTGTATCATCCTAAAAGCAGCAGTTAATATTTCGTTTAAACTGACTTACTGATTAAAATAATGCTATGTTTAAAAAAAAAAAAAATCAACCACTGCAATACAGGAATTTATGCTAAATATGCTGGAGGCTGTTTCCCCATAGATATAACTCCTACGTGAGCACTGATATGATTAATCATCCAGTTTTAAATAAGTATTATCATTAGTGTTACAAATACAATGGTTGAGCTTTTTCCCGAGTTTGTAAACCAGTGTGTATGCACAGAGTTGTTTAATAGCTTTAAATTGTGTATTTATCTCCCCACCCTCAAACCCCACAGGAAAAAAAAGAAAGTCACCAGAATTACTGATCATTTGTGGTTTCCATGACACTTATCTTGTCTTAGCAAGTTCAAGCAAAGACTTCTTTTTATGTTATGAAATAGTGTTACTGTGGTCTTTTGCAGTGTGCCGTTTGCAGGAATTCCACTTCTAGTACACATAGTGCCCCATGAATGAGATTGGAAATTAAAAATAATAAAAACTTTTTTGAATAGCAGTGTCCTTTGAGGCCAAGTTTGCACCTGATAGTTTTTGCCTAAGCTCCTCTGTCTTTACAGAACAGATTGAAGGCTTTAGAAAAGGAATTTCCTTTTGTGAGAAGCCTCAAGCTGCTAGGGCACTAGCAGAATGAAATCTGAAAGTGTAAAGGTGGATTTAAGCAATTTACTGGTTTTGGACAGTCTTTGGATGGATACAAGTAGAGCTTCACCGCATTGACAAGGCTAAGAACACCACTGAAGAATTTGAGAGATCTTACCCCAGTGGCAGTAAAGGGGTATTAATTAGGGTAAGGTATAAGAAGAAAAACCTGGACATAAAGAAGCTGTTCCCATGTAAGTCCAGCATTTAGGCAAAAGTTTATATTAGCCATGTTCTGATATAACATTATATAAATTGGATGGGTCCTGAAGTACTGGCTACTCCTCTGATGAGCTGAAGATTAAAAATTTTGGTAGAAATGCAGTATAAATAGCAGATATTAGACGCTTGAAGGGAGACAAAACAGTGCAGGAAAGATATCACTGAAGCCCTTGAGGAACCTAGTAGCTGTTGGATCAGTAAGCCACTGATGCACATAAATCCTGCTGGTAAATGATCTTCTATGCAGCAGATGAATACCACAGTGTGTTTTTAAGTATACAAATAATTCAGAACAGCTTATACCATGGTACGTAACAGCAACAAATATTTCTGTAATAGCTTTATAAATAGCCATTTCCAGTTTGCTGCAAAAGCCAGTATGCCAAAATAGACTGTGCTTCACTCCAGTGGGTGTTGCCAAGGTTTTAGAGTGCCTTTCACTTGCATTCAGAGGAGGAAGACAGCAACAATGACTCTGCTCGTTCAATTACTGGGGAATTGTTCACTGCTGTGTATCTCTTTTGTAACCAGAAAATTACACCAAAGACCTCTACTGTATTATGATAGATTCAAAATACTGCAGATAATATGCTAGTACAGGCAGAGATACAGATACATTTGCCAGCAACCAGAAAAGTGGAAACTGATCAAGGAGTGCAATTCAGTCCTGAACTGCTGCTGGGCTGAGAAGCAGTATCATACACTGCATATGGAGGGATTTCAGCTTCAATTTCCTCAACCTAGGAGAAGGAGACCCATGTCAGGTGTCAGTTTGTCACCATCCTGCAGACTGGGGAGAGCCTTTGGATGCTCTGCCCAATTCAGTCGTGGTTATTTGTGGCTCCTAGAAACTCGGCTGCAGACTCAGCTGATCCTTTGTAATCCCATGGCCCATGTTAGATGGAGATACTAGAACATGGAGCCCACAGGAAAGTCTAAGTCTAGTTGGGCAATCCATTTCCTCTAGCTACAGGGTATTCTGGAAACAGAAGGCTAGAGCAGGATCCCTTCTGCCTGGAACTTCTTAGGGGACAAAAAAGAAAAAGCAGCAATTTGATTACTTTTCTAGAATATGTTTTGCACAGACAGAAAAGGCAATTTCATTTATGAGTAGCAAAAAGATGAGCTGCTTTACAGCAGACATAGGAATGCAGTCCTGGACACTCTATCACCTCTTCAGAACTTGGCATCAGAAAGTTTCCTGTCCCTTAAAAATCTTTATTTTTTCTTACTCAGATTCCTCTTTTCTTCTGAAGTTGCCAACAGGCATCATCATCTTAAACTCAACAACTATCATTTAAAGCAGAAATACCACTAACCAGATCACAGGGACTGTCTGTGAAAAAAGTGGAAAAAGGAAGAAAGAGAACAGATGATCAGCTGATAAAACCCTCCAGTGGCAAGAAGCGAGCGTAGGCAGGGTACAAAAGTAGGCCCATGGAACACTGCTATTTAAAACAATTCTGTGTTGCCACAATCATGGGGTATTTGCGGACCACAACTGGAACACCCTTGGGCAACTGCACAGAGAATTTTGCAAATGCAGGCAATGGTTTCTTATACTGCATATCTATAACCCACCAGGTAAGCAGTATAACAACAACAACGCTGCATAAAATGGTATGCTTTACTCCTGGGTTGATTAGATGGTTTACAGTACAAAACCACAGTAAAGAGAGGCATAATTAACCATTATACACACATAGGCAGTGCAGTTAAAGGGATGTACATTCCTTTTATTCCAGTACCTTTGTATAATAAAGTTAACAAAAATATTCAAATATTTAAAAAAAAAAAAAAAAAGCCAGCTGGCACTGCCAACTAATTCCTGTAGCAGTCTTAGAAATCCTAATCCTGTAGAACTTCCTTGTGAAATTGATGCGCACCAGAGTCAATGTATTGATAGCTAATGCCAAGCAGGTCTGGTGATGCAGCTACCTGAGGTTTGTATTATTTCTTTTGTATGTTTGTGTTTTGTTTCACAACTTCCCAGCTTTCATGTAGGAAGGGATCGAGCCACGTTGCGTGAGCCCTTCAAACCTCTTGTAGGTATAATTGAGGAAAACCCAGTCTTTGGATTTGTAGTCAGGTTCCGTTGTGTTTGGCACTAGAATTCAGAAACAAAAGTAAAACCAACTCGGTTAAAACCAGCACTGCTTCTGAGAGGATTTTTCACAGAGCACTGACATAAACAGCCCCAAACTCTTATCTCTCCAGTCAAAAGAAATTCCTTGAAGAAATCCTGTTTCTAATCAGGTCGGTTGCCTTTTGTCAGTGGTCTGAGATGATGTATAATTTCAGCATGTAACTCTGAAGTGGAAAACATTTTTTTCTGTTTGGGTTTTGAGGGGTGTTTTTTCAGTATGTCTACATACCATAACAGGCATACCTTGACAGGAACCTCTAACACACCCACAGGATATACAGTTATGCAAAACATAACATTTATTATGCTCCATGCACCACACACACATGTATACATACCATTTTATCCTTAACACAAACAGAAAAAAAGATATATCCAGGTTCTCCCAAGAGAACTATGCATACCACGCACATATTACTCTCCTAGGACTTAATCCCAGCTTACAGCTTCTGTGAGGCCTGTACAGCCTCCCTCTATTTTCTGAACAGCCCATATGGCTGGCATGCTGCCTGGACATTCACTGTAGTGGGCTTCTATATTTAGCTCTCTGGATACTGTTGTTAGAGTTCTATAACAATATTTTCAACTCAAGATGCGAAACACACCAATATCAAAATTTGTATTTAGGTATCTAGATGTACAGTAACATTTTCAGCAGGTCTGAAATACCAAAACCAACACAAATGTACTTTACATTATCCAAATATGGACCTACAGCTTAACTGAGGCACTGAAGATTAACTGATTTGCATTAAAAGGACAAACTTCCTCGCCATTAAATAAAAGCCATTTCAGAAAAAAAACGACCTGTTTTTTGATGATTATCATTGTTAGACACATCTACACTTATCTGTCATCAATTAGTCATTATATATGTGCCTATCTTTAAGCCATTAATAATTAATTGAAACAGTGGGAGCTGAGAGAATTTGGCATGTCAGAAAATCAAGCCTTTTATGTATAAAAATTTCCTACTACTTGCCAACAGAAGTTAAGAATTAAAAAAACTTAAATGATTTCCAAAGCCAATCAGGTTCATAAATCACTATATTAAATAATCATCTGTCTGAAAATTTTTGCCCACAAATATGTGAACATTTATGTTTGGCGTGAAACTCAAAAGTCATTAAAGATCAAGAGCAAATCAGTACATAGTGTTTTACCAGAATTTGCTTAGATTATATGGTGGGAAACTGTACTGTTTTCTGTGCTCACTATATATGCAAACCATTTTTACTAATAGATTTAACATAAAGTCTGTGGGCTTCTTTTTCTCCCTCCAAGATTCTAAAGAAGTAGAAGCTATGAGAGATCACAGATTTACATTTATATTTGAAAGTAAGTTTCTAGATCAAGTCTGTATTACCTTGATTAAGGTATCAGAAAAATTAATATAAACAACAGTAGAATCTGTGGAGTATTATGGCATGTAATAGATAGAAATTTGGAATGGCAGTCTCACCTGGCTGTAAAATATCAGATTCAGGAAATTCATCAAAGTTGGAAGTATCATCAATACTTTTGATTTCTATAGGGATTGCAGCTGGTCTTTCCCTGCAAATAGAAATAAATGCCAGAATAGTGAATACTAGGAAAAGATACATTAAATCCCAGTTTTGATTAACTTAGCTTTTTACTGTTACAACATCCTCTTAAAGCACAAAGGTTCCACCGAGTCCATCAGAGATGTATCTGACTCGTCTGTTTGCTGACATCATATAGGGAGATTTATTGGTTTCCTATCTAGCATTAGTATCTTCTTGGCAAACTTGGGGAAACCATAGTTTTCCCATTAACTGAACCAACATTCCACACATCTGCTGTATAAATATCACTATGTTCTTGGTTGTCACCAAGAACCACTGTGGTTACCTTCATTTCAGAAACCTAGCCTACTCAACTGAACAGGATTTTACTTGTATTTGGAGCCATCACATGCAATGCTTTACAATTCCAGCACTCATCAGCCTGGACCTCATCCAGATATCTTTCAGCTGCAGCTTGTATTTCTGACACTTAGTTGCCAGTATCTCTCATCCAAAATCATTTGGCTCTGACATGTTACTGCTTTATTAGCTCAACAATTAGGCAGCCCTTTAAGAAGTTTTAAGGTGGCTTTCGAAGTTTTCTAAGTGATCTGTCCCACAAAATCATTCAAAACTGGAACACAGCACTGTGGGAAAGTCATTAATTTACACCTGCAAACTTGTTACGGTTGTAATTATTACAATTACAGTTAAATCTGCTTCTGGGTGGAACTGGGATACCATTTGGCCAGGTCATGAACAGATATGTTACTAATATTGCTGCTTATTAATGTCTCCCACACAGAAAAGGTAAGTTAAATGAAGTTTTCTGCAACAGAGGAAATGAGCTGGACAATCACATGCCCACAGTATGGATTTTCATGTAGAAAACTGCAGTATTACTGAAAGAGAAGACTACCTCAAACCCTAAAGGGAGCTGAATAGTAGCCGTCATTTCAACTGAAAGTCTCTGTGGGGCCACCAAAGTCTGCTCTAAAGGTGTTACCACTTTGGGTACATGCAGATGTAGCTCAGCTTCTGCAAGCACAAATTCAGGCTGGAACTAGTATAGTTACCCAGTCTTGGCCCAGCAGAATGTGACCACAGAGGCTGCAACTGTGAGGTGAGTCAGTGCCTCTGCCCAGTGCTCTGTAGACACATTGGTTCACTCAGGTATAGTATCTGCAACTTGCAGTAAAGACATGCCCTGTGTTTTCCTCCTACCTGCTGCCTTTCCTCTTCATTCATCTATTTTCCCTGCATTTTTAGCATAAAGTCTGCTTTTCTTGCGCTGCTATTACAAAAAAGGTTTATTATAGCAATAGCTGCAGAGCCCGTTACTATTGGAAGAAAAGCTCTCTGCTGATATCAGAGCATACATGAGAAATAACAGAGCCACTCTACCACAATTTCTTTCCGTCCTGGCCACTCTGGGGCAATACAAGGCATCCCAAGACAGTTAAACTCTGATCAGATCTATGAATGCCAGTGAGGCCTGAAAACCTTTGCTGTCACTCACCTACTGCCAGCAGCTGCTTTTCGAAATAAAAGGTAGACTGAAAATAATTATCCTTGACATGACAGTACATGAAATTCTTGCTTTTGTGTCTTTTATTTTCTCTAGAAACTGTGTATACATATACCTGATATGTCCCCAGTCCACTCCTTCAAAAAACGGATGACTTTTTATTTCCTCTACTCCATTACTACCAATTCTATTTTCTGAGTCAATACAAAACCTGAAAAAGTCAAAAAGAAAATGTTACAATAAATGCAGACAGAAGCAACAGCAAACAAAACTGTTGTGGTATCCTGTATCAGGAATCTGAGGAAGTTCTTTCAAATTGTTGCATCACTGGGTAATGTCAAAGCAGCATTGCATCTAGGAGAGAAGGGAAATAGCAGAAGCAGAATACTGTTAGAGTTCCAAAACAAAAGAGCTATTATGACAGCAACTTGCATTTTCTCTAAACTGTTGCAACATCATCTTCAATGTTTATGAAAAGTTGCTCAAGTTCCAGCCCTGTAAGATTAGTTTGGAATGGAGGCTTAAGTCCATAACACTGAAAACACCTCTGCATGTTCTCAGCTAAACATCCATGTTTCAGACTAACAGGAACAGATAAGCTTAGTGAAATAGGACTACTCTTTGATGTCACATTTTGGAACTACAGTGAGCCAGACACATTCAAAACATGCCATGTCACTATTCTCCCTGTCACCCCCTCTTCCCTCTCTCCTTAGAGGTCCAGGTACTAGTGGTACAAAGAGCCAAGGCCTATTTTTAATATGGCCCAGCTGGATGTAGTTGTTTAAGCCCTGCCGGGACCGGAGACCATGTTGCCATTGCCCCTCCCCCACCCTCAGCCGGTCGGGCTGGAAGTGAGGCACAAACCCAGGTTAAAACAAGAAAAAATTTAATACAACAGTGTAATAAGCAATCTGAACAACAACAGTAGCAATGATAACAACAATAAACAGCAATAACAGTAAGCAAGAAAAAAGATATACAGAGAAATACTGCAATGGTTATGGAACAAGCCTGCCATGTGCTCCCCGCCACCAAAGCCACCAAGGAAAAAGTTCCGGGGCTCCAGCGCCTGGACCTGAGTCAGCATGGTATGAATAACCCAGCTGGAGATCCCTTCCCCCTCTCTCTCTTAACCCTATCCCAGCTGAACCAGGACACTGCATAATCTCAGCTCAGACTCCAAAAAACCCTGTCACTTTATAAGAGCAGCTGTGAGAAAGTCCATAGTCAAGTAAGAAGAAAAAGATGGAACTGGAGACAGAGATAGGATTGTTGAGATGGGACCGTTACCTGCTCAAGTAGGCAGGAGGAAAAACACCAACAAGGAGAAGTATAAAATCCTAAAGAAGAAAAATACAGAGGTGAAAGCTCTGACAGCAACTCAGTGACATCAGGGATTTTTTCCAGGGAGCAGCGGAGGCTGACCCTTCTCCTCTAAACCGACGCCTAGCTGGCTGGAAAAGACTCTGAAGCATCTCAAAGATATGGTGAACATACTAATGTTTAGCCTGGGAGTTCATTAAATCCTATCTATCTTTTGTATGTGTTAGCAAAGATATAACTGCTTTATATTTTTACACCCTCCTTGCAGTTTCTTTGAGGACAGCAAAAGGTGCTAACAGTGACACAAAGAGGGAGGTTTACAATAACAGGAAAAAATGCCCATGTCAGACAAAAAGCTTGGTCTTGCCAAGCTGGAGTCACCTGATGACCTCCTGGAAACGGGGAGTACTTGGTAGCATGGGGATGTGGGCCTCCTGTTTTCTCAAAGTCAGTTGGCCTTTGTTACATGAAATTCTGTTTGCCTAGATGAGCAAAGCCTTCAGCTGTTGGCTTAGTTATCCTGAACTCATAATCTCTCCACACAATCACATCACCCAGATTTGCAAGGCAGTTTTCACATCAATACACTGCAACACAAAAAAGGTTACCTTCTTGCTAGTTACTGAAATTTTCAGCAGGTAAGTTAGTAATGTAGTATGTTAGGCTATAAAGTGTCTCCAATTACAGACTGTAGTAGTCTTTTACTTGTAGTTGAGTGTCACTTGGGAAAAAAAAAACTGCTTGTATTTCTACTGCAGCCCAGCCAGTTGGTTGATGCCAAGTGCTAGTAATAGACCTCAAACCTTGTAACAACAGTTAGCCAGACCAGGTCTTAGGATCTGTCAGGCTTTGTCTGAACTTGAGCTTATTTTAGTTTGGTTTTATCTATATGCATAAAAATAAGGAAGCTTTAGCTATATCTGCATCTTCCTTTAAGTTGAAATACGCTAACTTGTCCAAGCTATAATGGACAAAGTATTCAAAGGCCAGGTGTTTGTTGCCTAACCTGCTGTTTTGACCTCATTTGAGTAAATCATCAATAAAGATGTTTTACCATAATTTAAAAAAACTAGTCACTGTATAAGTAAATTCACAAGCAAGACATGTTAATAAATAAACTGCCTGAATTATCTATAAATGCCCCAAACACAGCCAAGACTGAGGAGGAAGACCTCTTCAGCAGCAACAGCAAAAAGCTCAGGATACTGACAATATCCAGGAGAGGTTAAGCAGAACATTAGAGAAATAGATACTGAAAACATAATAAACTTGTCATATACAAAATTATTCATGTGGATTAACAATAATTAAATAACTTGAAATGTTAGTATCACTGTAACCGGATTAAGAATAACTTTGTTGTATGCTACTGGAGCACTGCTTGGACTAATAATAAATTCTAGTCCTTTGGCTCTGCCAATAAAGTATGTTCCCCTTTTTGACTGTAACAAAATTGTGTAAGTTTGTAATATTATCTTTGGGAGTTAAAAAAAAAAAAAAAAAGCCAGAAACCACATCTCCCCTGAAACCTCCCAGCACAAAAGAGCATTTCTGCCTGACACTGACACCAAAACCCCTTGCAAAAACTTCAGTGCAAACGGAATGGATTAAAAATGGTCATTTTGGAAAAAGTGAGTAAATCCAAAACATCCAAATATTTCTGTTCAATGCATTAAATGCTGGCAAGCCGTTATTTTCTAGTTTCCTCTGAAAAAAACTGTGTGTTAATCACTTTTTTTTTCCCCCAGTCTCCCGTTTCTCCTGATACCATGGTACAAATCAAGATTGTTAGAGCTTATTCCTTCATGTTAAACAAATGGCAAAGGCAAAAAGACTAAAACAATCTGTCAAGGATGGTGACACAGAAGAAACCAACTTTCCCTCCAATGTGAAGCTTCCTTCGTGCAGATTAGAAAGTTAACTTAATGGAAGATGACTATGTCTGGGTGAGTGACCAGAAGTGGGCTTTTGTTACTGACCTTAAAATTAAATCCTTTGCTTTCTCTGAAATGGGCACCTCTGGAGGAAATACCAATGTTTCTTTCCAGTTCATAACTTTCCTGTAAGTCTCTTGTGGCGTTTCTGAGCAGAAAGGTGGATACCCTGTACAAATAAATTGAAATATTAACAAGCTTTTCCCAGAAGAGGAAAGTGACCTAGGCCTCTGCTTTTAACACTACAGCTCCCAATCTAACAAGTAGTACTAGCCAAAAGTTTTCTATTTTGTAATGCAACATTAAAGGTTACTTTGTAACTTCCAAGTAATGAGACTGAACTTCAAAAATATTTAATAGTGAACAAGTTAGTCATTGAAACATTAACTGAGGCATCATCTCTTCCTGTCTGGTAAAGGTGGGAGGTCTTCAAAATTTTCTGGAAGCTGAATTTGGGGCTTACTTCAGGTAGAACTGAATGAAATTCTGGTACTTCCACTATGCAGGGGATCAGACTTGGTAAACTAATGGACCCTTGTTACCTTTGAACACTTTGAATGATTCTTAAGTTGGAGTCTTTAACATACCTATTAGCATTTCATACATAATCACTCCCAAAGACCACCAGTCACACAGCTTGTTGTACCCAGTCTGCATGAATACTTCTGGTGCAATATAGTCTGGCGTTCCAACAGTAGAATATGCCTGGAAAAAAAGAATAAATTCTTTAAAAGATAAATACTGTGGTTTTACACTTTGCAAAACCTTTTTCTGGGAATTCACATATAGGATCTTGTTATTTGGATGGACAAGAATGCTTAATTTGAGAATTCACAGTATGTAAAGTTCCAAAAACATTACTCTCTTAGATGAGTAAGCACAGGGAACCCTGAATGTAAATGGAAATCATCCTCCTAAATGTGACAGTCATAGAATATTCCCACTGTCATATCAGAAGGTCATCTTAGCTAAAATTTCAGGTAGCCGCATTACTAAAATACCCAGTAAATTCTGTTGTAGTTTTGGGGATTTTTTTTATTTTTAATTTTTTTTTTTTTTAAAAAAGGAATAAGCAGTGGTAGATTCCCATGTGTGACATTCATGATACACTAGCTGTTCCACATACTACCTTGTCTTTATTGCAAAATTGATTTGAGCTTTTACTGGACCCAGGCTCTATCCTTTTAAATGTGCAGCTAAATGATTCTGGCTAATTACTAAATCTTGAGTTATTTAGGAATTTCTCTATACTGATGGAAAATTTTGCATGGGGCAGAGAGGGAAGAAAAAAAAAAACCAAAACCCAACAAAAAAACAGACTAAACCAAAGAAGTCTGCTGAAACCAGTTTTGCCCTTAACTAAATATACATTGCCAGCAGCTTTCATTTGTCTCACCAGAAACAAAATACTTCATTTTATTGAACAGAGCCAAGACATTTATTTTTGAACCAATGGAAAACCAAGAATATGACTCCTTTTCAAATAGTGTTGATCCAAGTTGTCAGTTTGGCATTTTATTCTCTGTTGGACTGTCATGATTCTTCTAGCTTCGCCACACAGTACAACTCTTTACTGACCTGAAAACGTAGTCTTTTCAGGGATGTAACTCTAAATGCGAGTAAGGGTGTGAAATACAGCCCCTGTGAGGCAGCAGGGTTGCAATGTAATCTCATTACGTCTCAAGAGGAAAGAAAAATCAACCCAAAAGCTTTTTGGGAATGCTGCAGCATATCACTTTTTAAACAGTATGCAAAATAAAAAGTTCCAAAACTTGAAAATTGAGGGGTTTGCAACTGCTTTTTTGGTGCAAATCACAAGCAGGGCTAAAATTCTGAAATCCCATGGCTGACAGATGCTTTGATACAGTTAATGCTAGAGCTCCTTTTATTACTTAACCACTCTTCATTATAAACCCAGGCTGCAGCACTCCAGTGCCAATAACCTCCACTGCCTTTCTGTCATAATGCTGTTCAGCAGAAGGACAAACAATTTTTCCACACAACAATCTGAAAAAGAGCCATGCAGCTATGCATCTTCTTACAATACTGAACTTCAGGAATTAAACCCACGAGTCACACAGTGTCAATACCAGGTCAGTCTAGAAGATAAACTCAAGATACAGCTTTGCTACTGAGGTTCTTTAGTCCAGGTGCTCAGAAGGAAAACAAGGGCATAGAGAAGAGCAAGATCTTGCTAGTCACAGCTCTGAAAACAGACAAAGCAACCCTGACAAAGCTATTCTACAACTAGAATCACTACACCACCTTCCTGAGTTATTTGCAATTTTGGGAGCTTGTAAAGAGCGACATCTGTCATAGATGAGGGCCTTTCAGTTTTTAAAACCCAGTAGCATTAAAGTCGAGGTTTTATTTAACATTTTCTGTAAATAGTTTAAAAGCAAAAAAAAATTACACATAATTTTATTAACTCACCAGTTGTCGCCTGTTCTTCTTCCATGTTTCTGCTTTTCTCTTTGAGTTCATATTCTGAAATGCTAATTCACAAAACAGTTATTAGATAATAAATGCATTTGAGAATTGTAAGACTGATAACATTCTGTTTATCAGAATAACTATTTTGTATCTTTAGAATGTCTAGAAACAAATACTTGAAATGATAACAATTACTGTCCAATTTGCAGCTGAAACACATGTAAGTAGGACACATGATCAGCAATTCTAATTTAGAACTTGATTAAAGTTTTACAGACTGATCTGAGATCAGCAGCACTTACTGTTGCACCTAGCAACGTATATTCAGTTAAGGGCAATGGTTTTTTAAGCATTAAGTGAAGAATTCAAGAACTACAGAGGAATTTTACATCTGTAGAATAATACACTGATGTGGATGTGTCACCAAGTCATGTTGATGAACAATTTTCCTCTTATGAAAAGCTTCATGAGGCTTAAGTAAGTTGGCACATGAAACCCATGTCCTCCTGAAAGAGTGTTATTGTAACTTCACTAAAGTTGTTATGAAAATTAAAATAAGATACATCACATCATGTGTATTTGTATCTGTGTACAAATGTGCAAAAATACATTAATACTACAGAAATCATAATTTCTTTCTTGTGAAATACTTCCATGTCCCAGGGAACAGGCATTTCCAGTTTTCCAATTAAATGCAATCAGCCTGATGAATCTTGCTTAGCCCAGCAGAATTAAATTATGATGCAGCATAGATGCAGCTCAAAACTAGTTAAACATTTAAACTAGGACACCTTATACTTACAGAAGTCACTTGGTGGGTTGTGTGTAAGGTTCCTGTAGAACTCTGTTCTGTGAGCTTTCTTTAAACCTGTGCATAGCCCAAAATCAGATAGTTTTACATGACCCTAAAAAAACCCAAAACAAAACAAAAACAAAAACAAACCAGAGAAGATGAAAACATAATTTAGAAAGGCAGTGCTTGAAAAAGAAGTATTTAATAGCTGCATGTGCCTTCTCAGGCCATGATGCACTTGCACAGGCCAAGTAAGGAAATGATGCTTGAACTTTGGTGTAATGAGAGACTATGTTTTCTCTCAAACAGGTTACTGCCCCCTGGGAATGGTTACCTCTACAATTCTGAAACAGCTGAAGGCAGCTAGTTTGCCTGGTTTTGTTTTAGATACCACTAAGACTGAGAAAATTCCTGTTTATTTTGGTAACCTGGCTTTATTCAGGTTTCCAGACATCAATGCTAGATAGTCTACAGACTTGCGCATAACACTTACTGGGTCCACTTCATGGCTCACTATAGTCAGTCTAATAGAGTGTTTCCACTGCTGATTGGTTAATAAAACAAAATGAGATAACTGTAGGAATTGAACTGGTTATTTAGCACTGTCTGAATGTTTTATGCTTTCATTTGTCTTGAAGTAACTATGTGTATCAGTTTATAATGTGTCCAAATATGAGCATTTGGACACAAGTGGGTCCCACGTAAAAGGCTTGCCTTGAAAGGGCTTTCCAACAACAAAGGATGATTTTGCTTTAAGTATATTGGTGTTCTACAAGGAAAGGATAGTGACCATCTTCTGCCTTTATACTCCAGCTAGCCTCAGTCATTGGTTGTGGCCCTACTAGTTCCCACTGATTAGCACCACTATAAATGGCATTATCTGCAGACTGAAATGTTTAAAGCACAGGCAGTTTACAAGCACATTACATGCCTTGGCATCCAGCAGAAGGTTATCTGGTTTAATATCTCTGTGGATGAATCCTAGCTGGTGAATAGCATCTATGGCCAGCACAGTTTCAGAAATGTAAAACTGTGTCTCCTCTTCTGATAAAGTGTCTTTCTTCATTAGTAAGGTCATCATGTCACCTAATGAAAAGAGAAGAAATACCGCTTAGAACATTTTAATCACAAGACTAATTCTGCATGAAACCCCAGTAGAATACAAATTTAACCTTGTAACTGGCCTTTTAGCTACTAATTATAAAACTATTACTGCAAGGACCTACAAACCCAACATTCTTTTCTAGTAAACTGGATGTAAAACTGTTGAAAATCCTAAATGGGAATTTTTAATTAGATAGTCCAGGAAAATATAGTGAATTTTAACACATAATACACAAATTGCACAAATTTATTGCACAAATAAACTGTTTGAACAAGAGCTTCTTTTTGTTTTTACTGTTAATAGCTTCAGCAGTAAAAAGCAGAACATTGAATTAGAATAATTATTTAATCCAAGTCTATTTTAACACCCTTTCATAATCTTCCTCCTTCTCCTAAAAATCGGGAATAGTTACATTACTGGGACTTTAAAACAGTGCTAAAATTTTTATTATCACAGATTACAAAGTATGCTTGTTTCTAACATTTCACAAAGCTGACAACAAAAGCTAAGGATGAAGTACTTGTATCACTTAACACCACAATATACAGCTTACCTCCAGGTAAGAACTCCATGATTAGGTAAAGATTTCTTTTATCCTGAAAGCTGTAAAACATTTTCACTACCCAGGCTCCATCTGCTTCAACCAAAATATCTCTTTCTGCTCGAATATGGGCCACCTAAAATTTATTTTAAATTACTATTATTAAAGGACAATTTCAATATTTCAACAAGGAACACTATTATATTCCTAGTCCTACAATATATTTTCATAATCTTTAGCAAAGAAACTATTTTCTATGCTCTTTTCATACTCATATTTTTTACAATTTTTATTAGATCCTACAAAGTCCTCACAAAATACCCACCAGAAACCCACAGAAGTCAACTCAATATTGAAAGTAACCATTCACACAACTTTGCAGAAGCAATCTCTAGAAACACAAAGCATAGCTTGTAAACTGGTTCTGTTTGTTGGAAGAACTGACAAAGCTGGTGGAAAAATGCAATTCCCTTTATTTACTATATCCTAAAATGAAATTGAAATATTCAAAAAATTAGAGCTGACCATCACAGAGCTTTATACAGTAGCATCCACACTGCAAGCTCAGACAAAAATTTAATATGTAACTCAAGATGCAAATACTGATGAAATTATTGGAAAAGGCCAGAGCTGGTCTTAAAAAATGCCAGAACAAAGAGGTAAAGTGGTATATGAATTATGATTACTGTCAGAAGACCAGATTTCTCATGTATGAATACAAAGAAACAAAGATCTAATAGCTACTTCTATACAGATATGTCACAGTTTAAATCTGGCAAGATAAGCCTGGGGAAACTACTCTAGCAAGAGTGAGTGTCTAAACTAATTGCTTCCTGCAAAACCCAATTCCTCCATCACTGTGAAGAGAGAAATGCCTGACTTACAGTGAACTACCGTCTAGTTCACAAACCCACATTGTACACAGAAAGTGCTCCTATGGGCGTACATGGCAAACCTTACTTGAACTGTACAAGTGTCTTGGCCAAGTGGGAAAAGGGCTAGGATAAGTTTCAGCCCTTACAGATTGGCAGATAGCAATGCACTCAGTGGTCAGTATTAAAACAGTGTAAAAATGTAAGTGTCTTGGGCTGCTTAAGCAGAGGGGAAAGGGAAGCAAAGCGAAGATGGAGCCATCTGGCCCAGAACTGATCACCACTGCTACTGATGTTCCCAAACTCACTTGGCCAGGCTCTTGGCTCACATCTGACCTTGCTCAGTATATTCCAGTCCCATCTGAGGCTTTGAAAAATATATGGAGAGCTGCTACCCCATGAATTCACTGGTAACTAAGAATAATGGAGTTTGGAGGAGGGGTGTTTGTTTACTAGGACATACCCTCTTCCTGAAGGCAAATGAAAGACATGCGTGGAAAAATATTTCTTGACAGCGCTAAGATTTTCATTATTCATACACCAACAAGCAGCTTCTGGAGAGAAAGTATGTACCACTATTCCAGCTTTGAGGGCTCTTTCCAATAAGCAGCAAACAGTCTTTTGCATGTCTTCACCAAATCTACTGGCCAGGAACATCTTAACATGTATGCATTCTTTTCACAGGGTTTCACAGAGCAATGGGTACCCTCTCTGTAGCAGACACTCGAACTTTGATTTCTATCTATTCTCATTAGAAAATATTTCTTTCCACCTTCCACTCCTCAACATATATATATTAAAACCATGCTTAAAAAACAGCCATGGTATTGCCCAGTGCCATCAGGCTTGAATAACAATCTTAATTTTCTTGTATTTGTGTCCTGTGTTGCTTTCCATTGAACAAATCAGGCAATGAAAATTACAGCAGATAAACACTCTGCAGGGAAGATTACTATCCCAAACTAAATGGAGAGTGTGAGATCAGCCTCCTTGCCACATAAGGTTACGAAATAGCAGCAGGGCTTTAACAAGAGGGCCACACACATCCTGGCTGCTGTGCAGAACATGCTGCTCCTCTGGTTCCCTATATTCAGGGAATGGGCTTGAGAAGACAAAAAGTCTGCACCAGGAAGAAAATTAAGTACAAGTACCACTGCAGGGAAATGTAATACAAATGATGGGTAAGGTTTGGGCTGGTAAGGAAAAGTCCTCTTATCTGCCCTTTTGCCTGAGACATCCACACTTGATTTCTCTTGCTTTGTGGTGCTAAAGTACTTGCTGTGTTCTACCAGGATTTCGGAGTGCAGTATTAACTAAAAGCAAAATCTAGCCCAAACTAACAAGACCCAACTAAAAAGCAAAATAAAGCCAAAGAACAGTGTAACATGTTAGTATCTAACCAACAAAAGAAAACATTAAATACTCTCAGTTTTTACTTTGGCACAGTAATACTTTTCAAGAAGCATTTTTCTTGAATGCAGGTTTACAGATTAAGTACTATAAAGGTCTGCAGTGATAAAGAAAGGGAAAAAGAAAAATAAACATCTTTGTCACTATGGCAAATTGGTTGTAAATGAAACATTTTTTAAAATGCTGTTACAAGACCTTATTTCCTAACTTCTACTTATTCTTTTGTGGTAACAATTTATTCTAATGTGGTAACAACTCCATAGATGTTTTGGACTACTATAAAGCCCCATTATTGAGGCTTTTGAAGTGGAAAATATAACCAAATAGTATCTGCCACAAAGAGTTTTGGCAATTTTCTAGACGACGTAAGCTTGAAATCCAGGAGATTTATACAACACAAACCTGCTCTTTCTCCAGCATATCTGCTTTTCTTAGTATCTTCATTGCGTAAATATGACCCGTGTCCTTTTTCTGAACGAGGCGTACCTATAATGAGAAATATATCCTAATCAGTCTTCTCCACCTCAGAAATTAGATCCCAGCGTGGAATCTACTGGAAGGCCCCAAAAAATACTGTAAGGCATGGAAAAGTTCTTTTGTTAAACATTTGAAAACACATGATAAAATGTACACGTATAACACTAGTGATGAACAGATAGTCCAAGTAGTTATTGTTTTAGGAAAAGTCAGCAGGCACAGTAAATTCCAAGTAGCTGTGAGATTGTGTGTGCTAAAATTCAGGAACAGATAAAACTGTGATGTGACACCGGGCAGGGAAGATATTTACAGAGAGGTGCTGTGCAACTGCAAATCCATCATTTCAGGGGGCCATGTGGGCAACATCAGTTTTGGAAGCAGTGGGAAACTAAGGGCCTTCCCAGGGGCCTTGAGAAATCAATGCATGTAATGCATTACTGGACTTATGAGTCTTGAACAATTACTCAAATAGCTATTTTTCTGCAGTAAAACTCCCCAACCAGAGCTTTTTATTCTGTAAAATGCTTCATTTTAATGTTAAAACCCAATTTTAATATCCTGTTCAAGCAAGAATACCACAAACCTCCCCAAATGCTCCTCTTCCTATAACTTTCAAAGATTCAAAGTCATCCAAGCCAAGTCTAGTCCTCTTCAGTCGCAGAAATTCTGTTTCTTTGCGAGCGTGTTGTGACCTACGCAGTTTTTTCTAAGGAGACACATACGCAGAAATTTGTATGTCATTTGACAGTAGAAAGTCAAGTTAGACATATTCCTGTGAAGTATTCTCTCTCCCATTAGTATTACAAAGGAAATGTAAAAAGAGAAGACTTTCTGAATTTCTCAATGTATGATGTATGAGCACAGTCTTTTTATATAGAGGCCTCAGGCCAATTTCACTTTTTGGAGGGGTTGTTTAAATTTTTTTATTACCCAGATAAAAAGAAGCATTAATAAAAAAGTAATAAAAAAAAAATCATGGTTTGAAGTATATCAGTCCAAAGGCCAAAGTCAGTAGCTGTGGCAAGGGCTCTTGGTTTGGGGCAGTGTAAAGCACAAAACCTGCACCCCAATGGAAAGAGTGATGACAGGCAACAAGGAGCCTAAGAGGCAGCAGAGATCCAACTTACATAGCCTATAGCAAAATCCATTTGGTTTATAGCAGGCAAACACTCGTATTCGAAAGAAAAATCTGTCCAAATCCTGTCATGTTTTTTGTTCTACAAAAACATCAATGGGATTAAATCTGAGAGAAGACAAATACCTGTGGCAGGAAACCCTTTTTGCAGGATGAGGATGTGTTTTGCCAATTAGCAGGCCTAGTATAAAGGACACAGCCAACAAAGATGAACCAATAACCAAATTGTATTTGATACAAAAGTGTCAGTACATGAGCGAGCATTGGGGGTACAAACAAGTCAGTCAGATTATACATAATTGACATCAATCCCACTGACCCCAACAATGACACCACACAACGAACAACGGGTGGAATAAATGGTGAAATTCAGTTTCCCATAGAAGGGACAGGAGACAACCAAGTCAACAAGCCAAATACAGCCTGCATTTACAAAAGCCAGACCTGACTGGAGCCCAGTTCCAGGGAGTCAGGAGGTCCTTCCCCAACAGGAAACTCTGCAAAGTACATCCACCTCACAGACAGACACTGCCCCTTCCTGCAAGTGGTCCCAGCTTTTATCCCTAAGTGGGACACATGACCTTTGTTTACTTAATGCTGGACACCTGGGGCTCATTTACCTAATGGCTCTCCCTGCAAGGCTGGCTGCACACTGGAGGGAAGCCTAAAGGCAAACTCACCCCCCTCCTTTGTGAAGGACTGTGGGAATCACCCATATGTCAACTTAATTTAGGTCTTGGGGTTGTAACCCCAGAATTTCAGGATGTGAGACAAGACACAAAGCAATATGGCTAACAGTCAAGCTCCCACATTTATTAGAAAAACAAGTCCTTACATATTCTTGTACATTCTAAAAATAACAGTAAATCCGTGTGTTGCTCTAGCACATGCTCATTTCAAAAACTAGTTCCTCTCAGCACTTTCAATAAGGACTACTAACCGCATGCAGCCAGTAGATAAGTTTCTGCTTTAGAATTTTAAGGAATCCCTTCTTGTCTGCTTCTTCCCTAACAAGCACAAATTCTTTTGCTTTTGCCATTGTTAACCTAGATGCCATTAGTCTTCTAAAACAAGTGCGTCATTAATTTAGACATCGTTAATCTTCTAACCCAAATGCTGATAATACTTCTACATTGTCAGTGATGCAGAAGGTTCACGACCAGGCATACGCACCCATAAATACCAACCTATGCTCCCAAAGATGCCGAGAAGACCTCGGAGGCTGCTAACGAGATCCATCAACCTGCTAGGTTTTGTACTAGGATGACAGCATCATTTAAAACCACAAGATGGCATTATGCACCCACAGCTTCCAGAAGCCACACAGACTCAGAAATTACTAAGGCACTGTTCCTACTTGTTTTCCTGCCTATCCTGAAGGCAGTACAGGCATCTATGGTGTGATGGACCTCAGAAAAGCAACTTACCATCCAAAGTTTTGAGAGATGCCAACTGGACAGAGATCCCTCATCTGTATACAAACGGAGCAAGGGTGGGCCTCATTTATTGTTTAAATCAGGAAAAAATGGTTCAGCATTTTGCTTTCTATCTACTTCTTCCAAGCACATCACACCTTTTTTTTTCTTGCCAGATTTAATGGCAAGTAATTTTAATCTTTGAAAAGCATACTATATACTTGCTGTGCCCATGTCTCATAAGGACTTAAGGGTGGCATGAAAAGCCTTAGCTATTGCAAGTATCATTCACAGCTTCCCTAATAACTTACTTAGAGAGGCAACATTCATTTACAAAATAAAACCTAATGTCATGCTAGCTAATGTTTCTGTAAGTTCCTCAAATGCCGATTTGAAGTTGTGAGACAAAAGCAGTCTCTTCCAAGTACTTAAGTAGTAGTTACCTCCTCATCTGCAAGGCCTTCCTCTTCCATAGCCACTTCTAGCTGCTTCTGCCTGCAAAGGGGAGAAATAGAAGATTTTTTAAATTATTATTAAAACCAGACATAACACTACAGAAAGAAAATGCCTTTGCTTCACATATTCTAGATACAAAAGAATTTATTTGGAAATTTGAAGACTTACTGCCCACTCCATCCATTTACTCATTTGTGACCAAAGCTGTTGATAATGTGCAAGCAAATTAAAGCACACATTTATGTATTCGCAGAATTGAGAATTAAAGGTCCAAACATGTAATCACTCTAATGACATCTAATTCTTCATACAATCTTGTTGAAGTAAAGCTGGTTTTATCAGTTAGGATTAAAATCAGAATAAACAGGGTGGTTTTGCACCATCTCTATCTCAGCTCTACCTCTAACACCTCAGCCAGCTCCAGGTTTTCTCCTCCAGTCTGCCCAGCCTTGCTGAACTCTCCCTGGTCACACACCCGGTCCTGCTTACTGGTCCCTTACTCTCATGCCAACTAACTCTACCTCCTGGATTCATCACTGTCTCCTCCCAGTGTCCTGCCCAGACCAGGGCTCACCAATCCCAGGGCTCCTCCAGCTGGTGCCATGCCAGGCTGGGAGGGTCTGAGCAAGGGAGTGAAGCCTGGGAGCACCCCACAGACAGGGGGTGCTCAGCACATGGCAACATGTCTAATGGACCCCTCTTTCCACCCATGGGATGCTTCTTTATGACTGTCAGGGTACAACTTCCAGAAAGCTGGTTAGCCGTTAGCAGTGGCCAAGAGTTTCAAGGCTAGGTGCCAAGCTGCTGGTGTCTTTCCGCACTTTGGGAAGTACAGAAGGATCCCCTAAGTTAAAGGCCCTCAGTAGACAGTCTGTTCTCCTAATTAGAAGAAACTCAGTTACAGGGGATAGTGACTAAGTATGATGAAGAGAAACCTTGCTGCTCAGCTGAAAACCCCTCAATTGAAAACATATTACTTAATTTCACATGCTGATGACAATTTGAAACCCAACATTCATTATAATCAAATGCTTGATGCTTTGACAATTCAAGTAGAACTTCACCACATCTGAAGCAGAACTGGGCACCAATGAGAGAAGTTAAAGTGGAGATGACCAACACATACTCCCACACAAGGAATACCAGTCAACACCACCCAAGGAGAATTTACAGGTGGATATTAGATTATCCCCAGAATTCTTCCTGCCCATCCAAGAGCCTCTCAAACCCTCCATCACCAACCCTATGCACTTTACTGCCCCTTATTTCCACCCCAGGCCACCCTCAGCCCTGCCTCCTTTCCTTACTCCATTACCCTGCCGAACACCTCTCCTATCAGTCCTGTTCCCTACCTCCTATACGCTCCCTTCTGCAGGGTTTATGAGTCTTGGCATGAGCTCCTTGCTGCAGAGCATAAACAGACATCACAAGCCACTGCCTTACACAAACTCAAGTTACCACCCATCAGCAGCTCCGCAACATCTACCTCTGTAGAGTTTATTCCCTGTGGCACAAGTAGAGGAATGAGGTCACCAGCCCCACATGCAGAAGTAGAAACCTCACACATGCTGCAAAGTAAGACCCTGCACAGACCCTGCACAGAGTGGTTTCTCCAAAGTAGCAATAATCTGATAAGAATGTCAAAAGTGGAGGTCACTCAGTGACTGCTTGGTGCAGTAGCTGCGAATATTCACAGGCTTACCAGCACAGCCAGAAGCTGAAATGTAACCTCTGCCCTTTGGGGATTAGCTCATTGCTATCAAGTACAGAAAAACTGAGAACTGCTCCATGCATGGAGATCAAAGTACCCTTGAACAAACACCACCAAAACTCAACCAAGAAAAGCTGAAGAGGGGTGAGAGGAAGCAGAGCCAGTACCTGGTCTCTCTCTCTTCATGCTGTATAATTAGGTTGCTGTAGAAGTTCTCCAGGGTAAGTTTGGCCACCGTCACTCTCTCCCGGGTGTGGTTACTCATGGGAAAGGATGTTGTAGTCCCTGCAGTCATCGCCATGGTAACATGTACTGTGACAGAGCATGTCAAATCATTACTCACTTGGGGAAAAAAATAACCCAACCAACAACAAAACACCTCCTTTTTTCCCACTCCATATTCTTAGATGCTATAGAATTCACAGGAAAAGGACTGTTCTTTAGACATAAGAAACTCCATCAAAAAAACTGTATTATAGAACTATCCCTAAAAGATAACAGGAGGACTTAATACCCACTCTCTAAAAAAATAACATGTTGGCAAAACAAAGGGTGAATCACAGCAAAGAATTATCCAGACTATGTGCAGCTCACCCAGCAGTGCTTATTCCACATATGAGGAAGATGTACCTCCAGAGGACTTGAGTCCAGCCTGGTGGAGGGAAGAGGTGGCAGAGCATAAAAAGTAAAAGGCAGAAGTGAGAGGAGGACCAGGCAACTCCCATAGCTGGACATGTTACTGATTTTATTAACAACTGAAATTAAATTATGTTTGATTTTAATATAAGTATAGAATTAAGAGATATTTTAGTAAAAATCATTATAAATTTATTGTATTGTGAATCTAGCAACCGACTGCTACTCTAAAATTCCCTATACAGCCCTGTACCAAGGTCAAAGGGATTGTTTAATGGGAACGGTTAGAACCTAGGTAACAAAACACAAGGTAATTTGTAAACTGATTTATAATACATACATAGGACTAGAAGAATGCAAGTAGTTGTCAAGGTCCAGGATTAATGGGAACTGAGGGAAGTAACAGTAACAGCTTGCAGGTACCTGCCAAGAAAACTGTGTCCTTAAGCAAAAGGTAATTCCGGCAGGGGGAAGATCGCAACCACTGACCCATGGACCACCTACTCACATTACACCCCAGACCCATTTCTAGACATTTCTAACCTTTACTGCGCAGATTCGGAAATAGTAGGAGAATATGTTAATGATTTCTTGGAAGTTTTGTGCTTATGTATGAAGACTTAATGAATATGTAAGAGTAAGTTCTATATAAGGTGTATGATTCTGGTGCTTGGCACGTGTTGTTAGTGAGAGCACTCCCCTATACGTCCGGCCATCAATAAAGAAGTGTCTGCTTATCTGCATCAAATTGGTGTCAGTAAGTTATTTTTATCCCGGATTTCGGTGACAGTTTCTGGCGACCCAGATGGGACCTCACTGAGAGAGACCAGAGGAGTTGGGGACCTGATCGGTTCCAGCCTGCACTGAGGATTTCTCAGGGACACCCATCGATCCCTGATCCATAAGGCTCTTCGTGACGTCCCCTAGATTCTGGTAAGACACTTCTCTTTGGTATTGGGAAAGTGGGTTAAAGTCCCACCCTTGAAAATTGGTATTGGGAAAGTGGGTTTGAGTCCCACTAGCGTAAGTCTGTCTGACAGACACGGCAAAAGCTGCGCAGGGTTGGACCAAAGGATCCTAGCGTAAAGTGTAAGCCTAGGCATCTGCCCATAAGACATAAGCGAAAGCTATTGCAGGGTTGGACAACAGTGTAGACAAGGGAACCTATATACTTTAATGAAAAGTTAGAAGGTTTTATGCACTTTACTGTGGTATTATTTATTGCCTCGATTGAGTATTGTGTGGTAATGAAGAACTGTTATATATATTATATTGTGTAACACAATATAACCGTGTTATTGTGTTACATACCTTTATTTATGGTAATAATTGTGGAAAGGTGTGAGTGTGTTTGTAAGCGTGAGACATGGAATTGAGCATCAAGCAAGTGCAGAGTTCAGATCTGCGGTTCTGTTATCCTGTGAGGGGTGCAGCCGGAGAAGAACGAAGCAACAGACTTGAACGAGTGATTGATTGTATATTGTGTTAAAAAGTAACTGAATCATGGCATCTAAGCTGACTCATTTGTTTAAAAGTAGAAGTATGGGTAATCTGGCTGCAAATGACAAAGTTCTGAAAACTTCTCCGTTGGGATGTTTGTTAGCACACTGGGGAGATTTGCATGACGATTTGCGAAAGAGTCAGATGACTGAATATTGTAATCGCTGGTGGCCTCTGTATACTATGGATGATCAAGAAAAATGGCTCAGGAATGGGACACTGAATTATAATACCATTTTGCAGTTAATGCTGTTCTGTAGAAGAAAATGAAAATGAAGTGCCATATGTTGATTTATTTTTCTATTTAAGACAAAGGAAGGATTGGCAGAAGGAATGTAAGGTGATTAGTACGGATAATTTAGTAATGGCTATAACTTCTGATCATAAAAAATGAAAAAGTGTTGTTCAACATGTGAACTTGGAAAAGATTGTTTAAAGGCAAGAATTGCTTCTACTGAAAGGGATGAAGGGCCGGAATTAGATATATCCCCTCCACAGAGAGAACGGCATCGGGGGCGAGAATATAGAGAACAGGTAGAGGAACCTGAGAGTAGTGGAATAGAGGATGTGGATGAAGGGTCATCTGAGGTTGGAATTCACACCCCTGTTTCTCGAAAGAACTTGGCAGCAGGTACAAACAATAGCTCCCCTGCAGCAGCGAGTTGGCAGTGATGGGACGGTGTATGTGCAAGTGCCTTTTCAGTGACAGATTTGATGGCTTAGAAGCAGCCAGCAGGAGCTTCTGAGAAAACAGGCAGCATACTAGATACTAGCATCAGAACACAGAATCTGGATTGGAGTGATTTACAGGTGATTTTAGTTAATTTGTTAAATGATACAGAAAAACAGATGGTATTAAAGGCTGGCAAAGCACAGGCAGAAGTGACTGTATTGAGTGGGACAACAGGTAGAATATTAGAGGAGAATTTTCCGTCTGGGGATACGCAGTGGGGATCCAAATAATGTGGAGCACAGAGAAAGACTGAGTTGGAATCAGAAATGGATTTTATATGGAGTTAAACATGCCATGCCTAGGTTTATGAACTGGTCTAAATTGTATGAGGTGAAACAAGATAAGAATGAATCTCCCTCAGTGTTTCTGGAAAAACTAAAAGGAGCTGCCAAAAAAACAAAACAAACAAAAAACCAAACCAAACAAACCAACAAAAAAACCTCAAAATGGATTTGAGAGTAGAAACTGAGGCAGCTCAGATATAATTGGCTTTGATTTTTATAGGACAATTGGTACCAGATATAAGAAACTGATTGACAAATTTTTAAGTATAAAATCTTGGAGGAGTGTGAATCTCAGTATAAAACTCTCAGAAAACCATCAGGTGAATATAGGTTAGTGCAAGACTTAAGAGCAGTGAAATCAAATAGTTAAGGATATATATCCTGTAGTGGCAAATCCTTACACGCTGTTAACAGCTGTGGTTTACAGTTCTTGATTTTAAAGATGCTTTCTTTTGTATACCTTTGGAGAAAGAAAACAGAAAATTGTTTGCTTTTGAGTGGGAAAATCCACAAACAGGACGAAAGATGCAGCTGACATAGACAAGACTATCCCAAGGATTTAAAAATAGCCCAACAATTTTTGAAATTCAGCTGGTAAAGGAGCTTGAAACACAGAAACAGGACAAACTAAAACCTGGACATTTACTTTTACAATATGTGGATGACACACTGATTGCTACAGGGAAAAAAAAAAATAAAAGATTTACCTACATATAGGTAAAAATAGATCTTTTTCATTTTCTGGCACCGAATGGGTACAAAGTACCCAGAGGAAAAAAAAAAAAAAAAAAAAAAAAAGCAGGGGGGAAAAAAAAAAAAACAACACAAAACAACAACAACAAAAAAAAATAACATGACAGACTGTGATATATTTGGACTTTGAGATTTCAAAAAGGCAGCGGCAATTAGGAACAGAACACTGATAAGCCATGTGAGCCGAAAAATATTCATGAACTCAAAGCATTCTTAGGAATGACAGGGTGATGCCAACTCTGGATCATGAGTTATGGTCTAATAGCTAAACTTGCTATATGAGGCCCAAAAGAACTCTCCTTTTACATGGGGTCCACAACAACAACGGGCTGTCACAGAATTGAAACATGCTTTAATGTCTGCACCTGCCTTAGGACTTCTGGACATAACCAAAGACTTTCAGCTGTGCGTTCATGAAAGACAACGCCTGGCACTAGGTGTGCTGACTCAGAAGATGGGAAGCTGGAAACGACCTGTCGGATACTTCTCTAAACAACTGGACACAGTGAGTAAAGGGTGGTCAAACTGACTTTGAGCTGTGGCTGCAACAGTAATGCTCATACAGGAAGCTCAGAAATTTAACTTTGGGAAGCATAATAACAGTCTATGTCCCACACATGGTGATAACTGTTTTAGAACAAAAGGGGGTACATTGGCTATCTCTGAGCTGAATGATGAAGTACCAGGTAGTACTGACTGAACAAGATGACGTGATCCTAAAAACACCTAACCTGGTAAATCCTGCAGTGTTTTAAGTTCCACACAGGAAGAAGAGCAACTGGAGCAGGACTGCTTGGCTATTTATCAAACATATACATATATATATTTCTTTTCTGGGTTAAGTAAAGGTGGCCCGTCCACCTATGTCAAAATCAGTAGGTTTTGACTTAGTAAAGGTTAGGCCAATTGTGAGGGTCGAATTTCAATTGTCAGACACTGCTTGTAATGTCACGAGATTCCCATCCTACTATCTAACCTGAGACATGAGTGTGTATTACAGTCAAGTTGGTAGTTACATAAAGTGCTTAAAGATAGAGGTGATTTAACAGAACTGAATAGAGGTGATTTTAGCAGACATTCATTTTTATTAAATATTTCAATATTTGCTAAATTTACCATTTCCTCTTTTGAATTAATTTGGTTATTTGTATTATTATGTAATTGAGATTCTTGAAAATTGAATTCTTCAGTTTGGGTGCCTACCAAGACGAAAGGTAGTCTATTCAGTCGCACCATATTGTCACAATCTAGTAAGGGTGGTCAGAGCCAATCAACTCCCCCTTATAGAGTTGTTAGGCTGTGCCCAACGTAGCCTGTGGGCTTGGCTTTGGGCGATCAATATAACTTACGTCTATAATTTGAACCACCTAATTATACTATCAAGCGGTCGGTGAAATCATTTGATAGAGCAAGGAAACTATAACGCCAATTGACTGGGGCAGAGGTCAGTTCAGTTCCCCCGAAGGGCATCCAGTGGGACCATGTGGAGGTATGACCACTGCAGTTAAGCCCAGTTAGTAACTATGATCCCCTTAAGAGAGTCATAGGTACTCCCTACTGAGTATGTTTATTCCAGTCAAGAAGATTCGAAGGATGTACCATTGGAGTAACCAGACTGGGAATTGTTTACAGATGGCAGCAGCTTTATGGAGCAAGGAGTTTGATATGTTGGATATGTGGTAACAACAGACACCACAGTTATAGAAGCAAAGGCACTGATGAGTACTACATCAG